TCTTTACACAGTACACACATGCACACCCAATTATTAATGGGACATTCAAGGTAGCATCAAGATTGCTAGCTTTTCTACCTGGATCTCTCTCAGGCATCCAGGCCTTTCTAGAGGGTCTTAGGTTTTTTTAAAGGTGTGTTGTGGGGTGGTGACAGAAGAGAAGAGGGGAGCACAGCATAGAACCCTAAGAGAGCAAATCTCGCCTGCATAAATACTACATATCAAGAACCAGTAATGAGTGAAGATAGAAGAGGAAAAAAATCCCATCCAATCTACCTTGAGTGGTCATTTGTTACTCAGTTTATTTTAACTACTGGTTTAGACTAAACTTCCATATTTTCAAGGAACCAAATGACCACATTCACATTGACTTCTTGGTTGGGACATTTTTGTGTAGGTGCTCAAAACCCTGGTAGAAAATGCTGAAATGTCTTCTACAGCAGTATTACCCAAAGCTGCACTCTCTAAATATGTTGGATTACAACTCATATCACCCCCAGCTAACAGTGGATACAGTAGCCCAATCTATTTAGAGGGTGTAAGATATGGAAATATTGTTACATCCACATAGACTGTTGGCAAGAATCATGGACCACACTATCATCCTACATTAATGCATCTACATTTAGTGGGTTTCCAGGATGGTAGACAGGACTGCATCTAAATAACCTTGTTGCTGCAAAGTCCAGATCACCCCCAGCTAACAGTGGATACAGTAGCCCAATCTATTTAGAGGGTGTAAGATATGGAAATATTGTTACATCCACATAGACTGTTGGCAAGAATCATGGACCACACTATCATCCTACATTAATGCATCTACATTTAGTGGGTTTCCAGGATGGTAGACAGGACTGCATCTAAATAACCTTGTTGCTGCAAAGTCCAGCCTTCACCATGGTTAATGGATGAGTTGAGAGTGATGAAGCAAGTAAGGAGATAGCTAGAGGGGTGTAAGATATGGAAATATTGTTACATCACATAAACTGTTGGCAAGAATCATGGACCACATTATCATCCTGCATTAATGCATCTGCATCTAGTGGGTTTCCAGAATGGTAGATAGGACTGCATCTAAATAACCTCGTTGCTGCAAAGTCCAACGTTAGCTTAGCATTTCTTGATCCTATATTGAAAGCCTTCAGCGGGACTTTGACTCTTCATTTAATCCAGTAGATCAGATTGTGACATCCAGTGCACTGTCTAGTCATGGTTTATTGGATCAGTTTCCATTAGTAAGGCCAGAGGAAGTAAACAAGACACCTGCACACTGCAAAGCTGTGCCCATCTTAGCCACTAAAGTCTGCCAAGAATGCAATGGTGATCCTATATTGAAAGCCTTCAGCGGGACTTTGACTCTTCATTTAATCCAGTAGATCAGATTGTGACATCCAGTGCACTGTCTAGTCATGGTTTATTGGATCAGTTTCCATTAGTAAGGCCAGAGGAAGTAAACAAGACACCTGCACACTGCAAAGCTGTGCCCATCTTAGCCACTAAAGTCTGCCAAGAATGCAATGGTAAAATGGGACATGCATGTTATCAATGCATCACTTCAGGTAGGTCATGTCTTTCCTGTTTAAAAGGAACCATAATAAGGCTGATTCTTAAGAAAAGCAATTTGGCGATGGATGATTTACACAACTCTAGACCCATCAGAAATATTCCATTTCAGTGCAAGTTGACTGAGAGAGTGATAGATGATCAGTCACAGGCATTTTTGGATGAGATTGATGGTCTGGATCCATTTCAGTCAGGGTTCAGGCTGTGTCATGGTACTGAAGCAGCAGTATAGACCCATCAGAAATATTCCATTTCAGTGCAAGTTGACTCAGAGAGTGATAGATGATCAGTAGCAGGCATTTTTGGATGAAATTGATGGTCTGGATCCATTTCAATCCGGGTTCAGGCTGCGTCATGGTACTGAAGCAGCAGTGGTCACTCTGCAAGATATTCTCCTAAGGGAGGCTGACATGGGGAATGTAAGCCTGTATCCTTCTGCAACCTTAGATACCACCCACCATGGTGTCCTTCTGGGAAGACTATCAAGTTTAGGGATCAGGGCTCTGCTCTTTGCTGGTTCCAGTCCATCCTTGATGGCCAATCCCAGATAGTACAGCATGGGGATGCTGTCTCAGTGCCTTGGGACCTCTGTCACAAGGTCTCAAAGGGGCTGTTCATCTCCCCAATGTTTTTTAACATTGATATGAAGCCACCAGGATAAGACATCTGAAGGTCTGGCATTCTCTGTGACCAGTACACTGATGACATGCAGCTCTATCTCTCATTGGCTTCATCTGCAGGAGATGCTGTTCTTAAGTGGTGCCTGGCATTGATACTGGGCCAAAAAATTGACATTGATTCCAGATAAGATGAAGATCTTGCTAAGAGAATTGTTAGTCAGGTTAGTGGGAAATTTAGCTGACCTGGATGGGGTTACATGCCCCCTGGAAGATTGGGTCCACAGCTTGAGGGTAATTATGGACCCAGCACTGTGTACAGAGGCTCAAATATTGGCCATGGCCAGTAATGCCTTTTATCAACATTGGTTGATTTCCCTGTTGTGTCCCTACCTGGATTAGAGATACCTAATAACAATGGTTGATACATTGGTAATCTCCAAAAATAGGCTACTGTAATGCTCTCTACGTAGGGTTCTCCTTGAAAACCATACATAAAGTTTGATAGGTCCAAAATGCAGTGGCCAGACTGTTGTCTCAGACTAGCGAATTTGATCATATATCCCCGGTCTTGCCCACCTGCATTGGCTCCCTGTTAGTCAATTTGAAGTGATGATTTTGATCTATAAAGCACTTAACAGTTTAAGGCCTCGATAATTGTTGGGATGTCATTCCCAGGAAACAGGTACCTATTTCACATGCTTCTCCCAATCCACATTGTTAAAATGGCTACACTGAGGGAAGCTTAAAAAGGTGACAACAAAGAACCAAGCCTTCTCTGTGGTGGCCCCTATTCTGTTGAACATGCTTCCAATCAAGGTGCTTCAGGCTTCATTCCCCTGATATTTAGGAAACTAGTAAAGACAGAATTCAATAGACTTTAAAAATGTACAGTATCCCCAATGTTAATATTAATTTTTAAATTTAGGTCTGTGAATCCCCCAGAGTAGTAAGTGTGAACAAATAAATTATAACTTTTGTCTGGAACAAGAGAGATGCAACATTCTGCTGAATCTTTGTAGAGAAAAGGCAAGCCACCATGCTCTGTTTCACAGAAGCTTTTTCACCATTACAGTGGACCCTCGACTTACAGATGGCTCGACTTACAGACTTTTCGAGTTACAGACTTCTCTGGTTGCAAAATTTAGGTTCGACTTGCAGCCGGAGACTCGACCTACAGACTGGGAAAAACCAAAATGGAACAAAAATAGAACAAAAACGGCTGGTTATGGGATTAATCGGTTTACAATGCATTGTAGGTCAATGGAGACTCGACCTACAGACTTTTTGATCTGCAGCCCCCGTTCCAATACAGACTAATTCCATAAGCAGAGGGTCCACTGTACTAATTTTCTCATTGAGGTACTTCTGATGATTAAGAATATGAAATCTCTCAGTCTTGGTTTGCTGGATTTCTTTGCATCCCATCTATATTTTCTTCTCATCCCTTTTTTCACATCACCTTTCAATTCTGCAGGTAGTTTTCCGAACGCAGGGGAAATTGTGTTCATTTTTGAAAGGCAAGCTTCCTAAGGCGTACACTTTGTATGCATTTTTCTTTTCTTGTGTATGCCTTGTTGGCCAGCGCCTGCTTTTGTGCATTTTTCAAAGATAAGCTCATTTAGACATGCATACTGCAAAAAAAGATAAAGGAAGAAAAGAAACCTGCTGTTTGTGGTTCCTTCTGAATGATGTGAAACCAAAAGATAAGCATGCTTTTAAAACTAATACTATTGTATGGCATGAAATGGATAGATTCATCCAAAGCAAAAAGATAAAGCCAATTTCTTTTGCATTACTATGGCTCATTTCAAAGAAGTATAGGATCCCACAGAACATAAAAGCAAATATTTTCTTTGCATGAAATCTGTTTTTTCCCATACTTTTTCCTCCAGTCTGAAGTTCACTGTGTTCTGTTCTCTGTGGAAGTATGTATGAACATTCATAGATATTTTCATATATATTTCCCTTAATACATTCCTTGTAAATACAACTTTGCCCAAGTTCCCTAATCTAACATCTTTTAAATATACTTCAACATTACTCCTCTCTCTCTTTCCCTCTCTCCTTTCTGCCCTCTTTATTGGAGAATATTGCAAGAAGTGTGACTTCCAAACAATATGTTTTTGCTTGGGTATTGGTTCAAATATGAAAATTAGAATAAGATTAATTTGCATCAAAATGTGAAGTGAACAAATTATGTCCCCTCCCTATCTGGCATGTATCCCATGGCACATTGTACAGTAGTCCGCATACAAATTTATGTCTCCTGAGTCCTCAATATTCAGAGTCCTCTCCAGAGGCTGTTTGTAGGTAAAAGGCCACATGTCTGGTTAAATCAGGATACATGCAATTTTATTTCTTCCTGTCAACATTAAGGAAAGCATAACAAAGTTCACCAATCTGTCTTGCAATGTTAATCATATGGCTCTGCTAGAAGTGGTAGGTCCAAACTTGCAGGAGAGCCACACATCTTGGTAGATTAGATCATAGAACTCATCAAAATAAAGCACAGAACCACCCAGGTGAAAATTATACAGCTGGTCTTTTAAATAAACAAATTCACACAAACACCCCCAGACAAAATAACAATGAGCTTTGTTGTTCTGTATTGTTAAAGAAAACAGTAATCATTCCCTTTGGCAAATTATTCCTATCATTGACAAATAAGCTGGACAAACCCACATGAGATAGAGAAACTCCCAAGGTAGAAGGTATAAATAAAGATCCCTGTGGAGAAATAAAGGCAAATCCCATAAGCTCCTCTGCACCCAGCATTATTTTGGAACAGAATTCCTGACTCCTCATAGAGCTGTCACCATGAGTTACAGCTATACCTTCAAGCAGACGCAAACTAGTAGCGAAGGTGGAAATATTGGTGGTGGTGGAATTGGTGGCGGCGGAAGTGGTGGACACAGTGTTAGTGGCATTGGTAGAGGAGCATCTTCTTCAATGTCCTCTAGAAGATACACCCCAACTGTGAGAAGCAGTCAAGGTTTTTCAGGTGGAAGTTATGGTGGTGGAAGATCCAGCCACAGCTGTGCAGGAGGAAGATGCCGTAGTATGTCTGGTGGATTTGGTGGTGGCAGTAGCTTTGGTGGTAGCCATGGAGGTGGCAGCTTTGGTGGAGGATTTGGTGGTGGCCACATAGGGGGAGGATTTGGTGGTGGCCATGGAGGCGGCCACCAAGGGGGAGGATATGGTGGCGGCCATGGTGGCATCCATGGAGGTGGCCTGATTGGTGGAGGATTTGGTGGCCATGGTGGCAGCTACGGAGGTGGCAATTTAGGAGGTGGCACTGGAGGAGTTGGTTTTGGTGGTGATGATGCTGGATTCCTCTCTAACAATGAAAAGAGCACCATGCAAAATCTCAATGACCGCTTAGCCTCTTATCTGGAAAAGGTACGACATCTAGAAGCAGAAAATAATCAACTTGAATCCTTAATTAAAGAATGGTACCAGACGCATAGTCAGACATCTGAACCAAAGGATTACAACTCTTATTATGAGGAAATCAACAAGCTCATCAGTGAGGTAAGATACAATCTGTCACTATTTGTTTCAGAACTCTCAGTATGACTTCTCTTTGGGTCTTTTTCGGCATCTAGAAATGCATTCTGAAAATCATCAAAATGGTGATTATAGTGAATACTCAATGAATCTGATGACTATCCCATGGTCATCTGCCCACCTACTCATCTCTCAGATCACTTACGGGATAGAAAAGCTACCTCCCCTACAATACTCACATCAATTGTACTGATCTAAATTAATTTGTTTTTCTTAGACATGGGTTATTCATATTCGTATCCCCAAGGAAATGAATACAAATAGCCAATGTCTAATTTTTTTGTAATTGGAAGGTTTTGTGGAGAGCCTTTCAAAGACTTCTTTTTAAATCTCTCTTTTATGGGGGTAAAACATGGTGATGTACAGTTTATGCCAGAACTTGGAAAAGTTACTTTTTTGCTCTAAAACTCCCAGTATTCGCAAGGCAGCATAGTCACTAGAGATGTTTGACTGGGTCAACGGAGAATTTTAGTTCCAGAAACTCTAGTTTATGCCCATAGATTATGAGTTGGAGCTAGATTTAATTCATTTCATGTTAACTCACTTTATCTTTCATGACTTGTTTCCTATTGATTTCAATTAAAAATGCATCCAATTTACTCTACAATGATCCAAGACTATATAGCAGGATTTTATTTATTGATATACATAGCAGCACATAAGCTTCCCTCCTGGTGTCAAAAGCCACTGTTGTACGATGGAAAAATATGGACTCAGAGGACCTGCATTCAAATCTCTGTTGGCCACAGAAACTCACTGGATGGTCACACTGGTGCAACCGCTCCTTATATATCTTGCATTTTTTTGAAAACTCTACTAGGGTCACCATAAATTAGATGCAACTTGATGCTACAGAACAACAACCTTGTAGTGCCAGTGCACTACTCAAAATGGCACATAAAGGTACTTTACAGATTATCCATGAATGTATCTATTTATTTAGTTATTGACTATTCTGATGCAGCAAGTAATACTAAAATACAACATTAAAATTAAAACAATGTTTCTAGCTGGTCTGGAAAATTGGGGAGAATAAAATGACAATTAATGCAGCAGATGATTTGTATGAAAATCTTACTCTGCTTATTTGCTGACCATTTAACTCTGTTATGCCCCTACACTTTTATATATGATCAGGGCGAGTCCAATAATTTGTTTTTCTTAGACATGGGTTATTCGTATTAATATCCCTGAGGAAATGAATACAAATAGCCCATGTCTAATTTTTTTTGTAATTGGAAATTTTTGTGGCGAGGCTTTCAAGGACTACTTTTTTTGAAAACTCTACTAGGGTCACCATAAATTAGATGCAACTTGATGCTACAGAACAACAACCTTGTAGTGCCAGTGCACTACTCAAAATGGCACATAAAGGTACTTTACAGATTATCCATGAATGTATCTATTTATTTAGTTATTGACTATTCTGATGCAGCAAGTAATACTAAAATACAACATTAAAATTAAAACAATGTTTCTAGCTGGTCTGGAAAATTGGGGAGAATAAAATGACAATTAATGCAGCAGATGATTTGTATGAAAATCTTACTCTGCTTATTTGCTGACCATTTAACTCTGTTATGCCCCTACACTTTTATATATGATCAGGGCGAGTCCAATGCTTAGGCAAAATAAGGCAGCCCCCTCAAGAACATATTTGGGTTGTGAAAGGGTAGCAGATGGTTAGTTATTAGCATGGTATTAATAAACTTCTACTTTGGAGAGGCACTTGGGGGATTTTCCATATTACAAGCAGTACATCAACGTTTGGTTGATGTTTGGCGCTATGCACAAAGGAAAATGTTGGCTCTGATATCATTGGAGAAGTGCATTGCTCTGGGTTTCAGACCAACCTTCCAAGGAACAGGAACTATCCAAAGTGCTGAAATCTACTTCCAAAACAGTCTGCAATATCTTGGGTAGTGCCTCCAAATTTTGGATTAAAGATATACAAAGCCTACCCTGACCTTCCCTTGGTGTGTGTGTGTAAGTAATGCACACACACTATATGGGATATATATAGTGCGCAATAACCTCAGGCTAAGACTTCCCTAGCTCCTCAGTGGTCAAAGGCTCCAGGGGAAATCCATCTGTTATCATCCTTAAGAAATTTATTGAGAAATTCAGCTGTCACTTTCCTTCACTGTTGGTGCTGACAGTCTGGTCTGTTGTATTACTTTTGATTTCCCCTTCCCTCAGTTCAAATGATTATCTTTTAAACACTCTGAATGCTTTCATGATATTGCTGTGCTCTAGGGTTGAACAGTGGCTCCTTGATCTACCCTGAAGTTGCTGTGAAACCATACAAATGCCCTCTGAGTTAGCCAATTTGCTCACATTTGTCCATGCCAGTTTGGATTAAAACCAGGAGCTGATTCACTTCATGACCATTGACTATGTGCCTTGATTTTGGAGTGGTAATGTTTGCTGCTCTGTATCAATTTAATTTGGGCCGTTCTTTTGTGTGATATAGCTTGACACCTTTCCAAAGGAAACACCAAAAAGATAGAACATTTCTCCTTAAAAGGTCAACAGCTTCGATTGGTTCCTCTTTTTTGTATTTTCTGGTCCCAGACAGTGGTATGCATAAACCTGCAGTATAAAAACTGGATATCTTCTGTAGAACAGCAGCACGTTATTTTAAAAAAGAGCAATATTGCTGGAGGATGTGTGTGGACTGTGATAGTCCTAGAGCATTCATAATCAAGTTGACCCTTTTCCATCCTGCAGCTGATTTCGGAATCGTTGGAGAGCAACAAGATACTCCTGGATGTTGATAATGCAAGAATGGCTGCTGAAGACTTCAAGTTGAAGTAAAACAATTTTACTGTGGTTTTCTATCTTCCTCCTCTTCTTATTTTATCATCTCCCTTCTCCTCCACCATCTCCTCCACCTCTTTCTTCCCTTATTTCATATGACTATATGGAACGAGCCGAGGAGGAAATGAAAGAGGAATGAGCAAAGAATATTCTAATTAAGAATGTGAAGAACTCCCAGTTTTAATTTGTTACATTGCTCTGAAACCTGCCTGGATTCTTTCCTCAGCTTTTATTCATATCTAATTCTGAGACTTTTTGTTTCTCTCCACCTTTTCATAGATATTTTTATACACATTCTTCCAAATATAAAAAAAATTGAGTGCATTTTTTCTATGGACAAAAGCAATAACCCTGTGCAACAGTTCTGTACATTTTTAGCCACTTGCAATTTTAAAAATTGTGTGTTTATACATATTTTTTTTCTCTGAAATGAGCCACAAGACTCACAACCATGCAGATTTCCAAGGTTATGTGCCCGTTGTCTTGTGAAAGGTCTCAAGAGGTACAAAATGAATATTTAAGTCGAGAACCTCAACTCCAACAAAACTATTTCCCATCCCTGTTCCTAGTACCATCTAGGTAAAGTCAAAATACACACAGTTAATTTCCTTCCATTATCTACATCTGTTTGCAATTCTTTTTAAAAGTCTTAGTGAAAATGTGTGTACATTTTTCAGGCACACCTCTTCTAATACATTTATTTTAACATGTGACTAAAGAGTGAATGTTTGTTATTGGACAGATCTAAACAATAATAGATAGATAAATATTGCAAGGGATTTTTACTGCATTACAAACTTTGGAAAAGTGTGACTATGAGGTATCGATGCAAAACATGAGAACCCCAAACATATTCCCTCATCCCTGTTCAAGACAATTAGGGTTTCATTAAGTGTTAAGGAGTTATTTTGAAAGATTTCAGCTTCAAAAGCTAATTAAAAAAGAACACTAAGGACAAAAAAGGGACAACATTCTAATTATGTTACTAGCCAAAGAGTTTCCTGGCAACCAAAATGTATAATTAAAGGTTGCACATTTCTGGGGTTCAGTCCTAACTTATTCAAGCTCTTCATTTGCATATTAGATACGAGACAGAAAGTGGCCTACACCAAAATGTAGACGCTGATCTTCAGGGCTTGCGTCCTCTTCTGGATAAGCTGACCTTAGATAAGTCTGATCTGGAGATGCAATATGAGTCCCTCCAGGAAGAACTGGCAACTCTTAGGAAGAACCACGATGATGTAAGTATTACTCCACCCCACCCCTTTGTCAGGAACATCACAGACCTTTTAAACATTTCCACGATGTTCGCACAAGTCTAGAACTACCCAGTGGAAAAACGAATAGAAAAAGTGTAATTAGTCAACATGTTATGAGTATTTATTGAGATAGGCATTGAACAAAACTGTTCAGTCTTCTCCATTAACTTTCCCATCTCTGTCCAGATGGGTTTCAATACATGCTTGCTGATAGTGTTTCATTTGGGCCTGCAGATAATGAAGAGTTCACAACATCATTCCAGTGGAGATGTCAGTATTGAGGTCAATGCTGCTCCTGGCCAGGATCTTCAAAAGGCACTTAATGAACTGAGACAGGAATACGAAGAGATCATTGCGAAAAACCGGAGTGAGGTTGAGCAATGGTATGAAGCCAAGGTAAGTTAACCCTGGGAATGCAGTGACTGTATGAAATGATTTCCATACCCCTATTTACAACCAATCACCAATACCAGCACCAGCACCAACAGATTACTGTTAGTCCATCCAATATTGTATATTGAAAGGATGCCCAACTGCTCATACATGCTTTCTGTAAATAGTTGTTTGCTAGGAACCACATTGAGTGGCCAAGGGCTTGGGCTGCAAGAATGGAATATCTGCATATCTATAAACTTGTTTAATACTCATTGTTTATATTTAACAAATGCAGAGTTACACCAGATGTTAGGGATTAGTAGTATACAATGTTCCATACTTTCATCAAGCTACACTTTCTGACTTCTTTGGGAGCTCAATTAAATTCGTAAACAGTTTGTATGCACTTGACATACAGAGTGGCTGCTTAAGGAAAATGCCTTCTGCGTTAGCCAAGGATTCAACTGTCCTTAATCCACCAGACTCAGAGTCCCACAAAAAGTTTCCACGTCCCGATCGGCTCCAAGATATCTCTGTTACAAATTTGGGTTTTAGGAATTAAGAAAAAAAAAATAGAAAAATACTTTGCAAATTTAGATGTAACCCAGAAATATGCCAGACAGTGCAGTACAAAAAGTACATGAATTTCAAACTACCTTGCAGAAATGTTTTAAGAGAAAATCTGTTCAATATGTTTGGGAAAGAAACTCACTTAATGTTGGTAGCAGTAGTTGAGTACTAGAGAAATGAACTAAGAGCCAGGATTGTTCGCCCAGAGAATTTTTTTCAGTTTTGCATGGCATGTTAGGATCACGTTTGTGAAATGCTTGTCGTGAGATGCTGCTGAATGTATACAGTTGCAGAAGCCTGCAATTTTAGGGTCTGCTTGTTCTTTTTCCAGATGGAAGAAGCTCGTCAACAAGAGAATACAGGCAATCAAGAGACTGGATCTGGAAGCAGTCAAGTGACAGAACTCACTCGCGAACTTCAGACACTGGAGATTGAGCTCCAGACTCAGCTCAGCACAGTGAGTGGTAGCTTTTGATTCTGGGTCACAGCTATGAACAAGCAAAATTCCAGTTGTTTGAATTATCTGGATCTTTTTTTTTTTTGGCACAATCCATTTTATCAGGGATGTAAACCCTGAAGTCTGTCTTATCTTTGTAAGCTGGGACAAGGAACTGAAATGTTCTTCCCTGTGCTGGTGTGGGGGTGAGGAATTTCCTGAGACTTTTTGTAGAGTTCATGCAATCTCAAGAACAACGTTTGTGCAAAAGATGTTATTATTGCACAAAACTGGTTCGCCCCCTCCCGCAAAACTGAGCATTTCGCAAATTGCACAAACATTTCTTAATAGCTAATTCTTCTGTGCTAGCTCTACCTGACCATTTCTTATAAAAAAAATGAAAGAACACAAGAAATATTTTATACAAATTTCAGAGACCTTGAGGGTGTTGAAAATAGTTCTTTCTATCATACTTGGGTGAAAGCAAAGAAATTTTGCAAGATTTTAAAATTCTTTATTGAGATGTCTCATCCTCAGCCTAAAACAATTGACAATGAGGAATTTAGCTAATAACCTCTCCATTTCTAACCTTTACATTGTCCCAACATATTGAATGGAAAGTTGCTTAGTAAAAGCAATTAGTTATGTAATTCTTCACAAAGCTCCCAAAAGTAAAAATTACCCCTTTAGTCAGTTTTAAATATAAATACAAATACATTATTCATTATGTTACTATACATTTTGCTTTATTTTTTATTCCTTTAACAGGCCTAATATCTGAAAAATCCCTTTGAATTACTCAGGAAAGCATTTTTTTCTGTCCAAAAAAGAAATAGAAAAACTAAAATTACTATTTCCACTGAAAATTTAAGACTGCCAAAGTGTTGTTGCAAAAGGAACAGCATTATGCCTTTGTTATGCCCAAAGGTGTGCTCTCTTATGCCATTCCCTTGGGGTGGAGGTTGAATGAAATGACTCTGTAGTTTCACCTAGTGACAGGTTTTCTGGTCAGAAAAAAAAAAATTCCTTCGTGCATCCTACACCGTCCAGTAAAATGTCAATTGGTGGGAAAAAGGACTTCCTTCAATCTAGGGATGAAAAGAATACTTCCTAAATTCATCCTTGATAGTGCAGGCTATCTTAATATGAGGAATTTTAAAGCACTGCAAGATTCCTTACCTCCACCTGGGAGTGAGACAAAGAGATTTCGTCTTTCTTGGCATCTTCTAATTTGTGTAAAATATAATTCATGTCCTTTCCCTAAGAAAAGTGTGTGCATAAGCCTAGCAAGCAGAGAAGGACTGGCACACTGTTAAGGGTGGAACTAACAATCCAATCAGTGCTCCAAACTCTTAGATAAAGCAGCTATCATTCTAATTTGGGGTCATTTGCATAATCTGCACAATTTGTAAACTGCACAGTTTCCATGCAAAAATTAGCACTTGGTTTTTTTCTTTTTGCAAAACATCGTTCTCATCAGTGCAAGAACTCTCAGCAAATTCATCACCATTTTGGTGTTTAGAAGACTAATGTTGCTATTCCTCACTTTTCCATGTATAATAAGCTAAGCAAGGACATGCATGGACATGCCTCCTATTTCATGCAGAGAATCCTCCATGCTTCGGGTATTTATTTATTTATTTATTTATTCATTCATTCATTCATTCATTCATTCAATTTATACCCTGCCCATCTAGACCGTAGTCTACTCTGGGCGTCTAACAACAATACATAGAAGTAAAAACCATATAATAAAATAAAGACAACAGTAATAATATAATTCAAGATGGCAAAAGTAATTATGTGATGACAGAAGGGAAAGCCTGCCTAAAGAGCCAGGTTTAGGTTTGCTCTTAAAAACACCCCCATGAATACGAAGGGATGAATATTTACCCATTTTTATTCATCCTTCATATTTAAAAAACAAAAAACAAAACCGGCTGAATGTGTGTGTGTGTGTGTGTGTGTGTGTGTGTGTGTGTGTGTGTGTGTGTGTGTGTGTGTGTGTGTGTGTGTGTGTGTGTGTGTGCTCACGCACGTGTGTTTATTAAAATAACTTTTATACTTGGCAATGCTTTTGAAGGCTTTGTATTTCTTTTGTAATTCCAGATTCAATTGCTGCAGAGGAATCTGAATAACACTGAAGGAGGGTACAACATGCAGTTACAACACCTTGGAAGCCTGATAGAGCCAGTGGAGACTGAATTGGCTGGTATCAAAGGAGAAATCCAGAATCAAACCCAGGAGTACCAGACACTTCTTGGCATCAAGACTCACCTGGAACAGGAGATCAGCCAGTATCATCAGTTGCTTGAGGAAGGGAATCACCTTGCGTATGTAGAAATTATGACATAGTATAACATGTAAAATAATATGCTAATTGCTACTTCGAGGGGGTGTAAAATGGTATTTAATCTGTTCTGGTATAATGTGTATCTCAAATCTTCCATAAATTACTTAATATATCCAACATTCTCTATAAAACAGGTTCATAAGAACAGCAGGTTATGAAGTTTTAGCTTGAATTCCCGTATCTACAACTGCATTTGTTGGGGCATGCTGGCACTCAGTGGTCAAAGCTCTGTCACTTAGTAGAGTTAATCGAAATGGAGTATGCCCTTTGAATCAGTGGGCATTTGGTGAACCAATTCCTCCTCTGTAAATTTCATTGATTCAATTGGGTCTACTTTAGCATCATAAGTCACAACTATCGTCGTAGTTTAGTCGTGTCCGACTCTTCGTGACCCCATGGACCAGAGCACGCCAGGCCCTCCTATCTTCCACTGCCTCCCAGAGTTCGTTCAATTTCATGTTGGTTGCTTCGCAGACACTGTCCAGCCATCTCATCCTCTGTCGTCCCCTTCTCCTGGCCAAAGTACTGGAGCCTCAGCTTCAGGATCTGTCCTTCCAGTGAGCACTCAGGGTTGATTTCCTTTAGAACTTATAGGTTTGTTCTCCTTGCAGTCCAGGGGATTCTCAAGAGTCTCCTCCAGCACCACAATTCAAAGGCATCAATTCTTCGGCGGTCTGCTTTCTTTATGGTCCAGCTCTCACTTCCATACATCATGTCAGGAAAAACCATAGCTTTGACTATTCGGACTTTTGTTGGCAAGGTGATGTCTCTGCTTTTTAAGATGCTGTCTCAGTTTGTCATCGCTTTCCTCCCAAGAAGCAGGCATCTTTTAATTTCATGGCTGCTTTCTCCATCTGCAGTGATCATGGAGGCCAGGAAAGTAAAATCTGTCACTGCCTCCATATCTTCCCCTTCAATTTCCCAGGAGGTGATGGGACCAGTGGCCATGATCTTAGTTTTTTTGATGTTGAGTTTCAGACCGTTTTTTGCACTCTCCTCTTTCACTCTCATTACAAGGTTCTTTAATTCCTCCTCACTTTCTGCCATCAGAGTGGTATCATCTGCATATCGGAGGTTGTTGATATTTCTTCCGGCAATCTTAATTCCAGCTTGGGATTCCTCCAGTCCAGCCTTCCGCATGATGTATTCTGCATATAAGTTAAATAAGTCACAACTATGGTAGACCCATTTGAATCCATGGAACTTAAAGAGGAGTTGATTCACCAATCCCACACTGATTCAGTGAGTCTACTCTAGTGCAACTTACTACACTAAGGGATGGGATTTTGGCCACTGTCATATCTAATCCTTGTAGGGTAAACATATCCCTTGTTCCAGCTTACTGATTCTAACATCTTCCGCATTCTGCCTTCCAGAAAATCTATATACTTCTTACTTCAGTAAGGGAATTTCTTGAACTTCTGTCCTTACTGAGATAATCTGATTTGATCATACCGTACGGTCACATTTGATAGTCAGATTTGAGTTTGTGCACTTTTAAATAGGTTTTTTTAAAAGTTGAAATGCATGCGAAAAATTGTAAACACTGGTCTATTTACCCAAACCTTCCTATACAGTATATCTATCTATCTATATATGTATCTATCAGACTATCATGATTAGAAACCTGGGTGAAGGAATTTTAAGCTATGCACTCTTTGAATTGGCTTCAAAGTATATTACTTCCCTTCTACTGTGTCTCACTGAAATCAAAAGGGCTTAGATTAAGGTTAACTTTTCAGCGAGTGTGATATAGTGGATCCCCTCTTGGCCACAGAAACTGTCTGGGGGTGGCGCTAATAAAGCTACTCCTTTACTTTCTCATCAGCTTGAAAACTCTGCTGTAGCCACTGTAAGTTAAGATGTGACTTGGCAACAACAACATCAGCGCACTTTTCACATTGCCTTCTGTGGGGCCTGAGGGCAACTAATTTATAGAGCAAACCTTACTAGCCATGATAGCTGTGGACTAGTTGAAGTTACATGGAAGTGAGAGCTGGACCATAAAGAAGGTTGACCGCCAAAGAATTGATGCTTTTGAATTGTGGTGCTGGATGCAACTTTTGAGTGTTCCCTGGATTGCAAAGAGAACAAACCTATCCATTTTGAAGGAAATCAACCCTGAGTGCTAACTGGAAGGACAAATCCTGAAGCTGAGGCTCCAATACTTTGGCCGGCTCATGACTCCCTGGAAAAGACCCTGGTGTTGGGAAAGTGTGGATTTGGCTGATCTCCAGGGATTCTTCTCTTTTTTCTTATCTCACAAGTATTTCAGCTCTAATGATTTCACCCATAATGATTGATAGATTTTAGGTCACAATGTTCTAAAAACAAAATATGAGACAAACAAACAGATTGATTGATTGATTGTCTGTCAAAGGCATGCAATTCATTTCCATTTCCCTCTCTAATCCTAAAACTATGTCCTTCATCCTTTTTTATTTACTTATTTATCAAAGGGACACCATACATGAAGGAGGAGGTGGAAGAAGAGAAGAGGAAGGACATTCCCTCGGTGGAGGAAGTTCTAGAGTAGGGCATGCCTATGGTGGTGTTTCACAAGGAGGAAGTTCTAGTGGAAGAGGAGGGAGTTCTGGAGGAACCATGTCTTTCATCCTTTTTTATTTACTTATTTATCAAAGGGCCACCATACATGAAGGAGGAGGTGGAAGAGAAGAGGAAGGACATTCCCTCAGTGGAGGAAGTTCTAGAGGAGGGCATGCCTATGGTGGTGTTTCACAAGGAGGAAGTTCTAGTGGAAGAGGAGGAAGTTCTGGAGGACAATCATAGGGTGGAATTTCACAAGGAGGAAGCTCTAGTGGAAGAGGAGGAAGTTCTGGAGGACAATCATAGGGTGGAATTTCACAAGGAGGAAGCTCTAGTGGAAGAGGAGGAAGTTCTGGAGGACAATCATAGGGTGGAATTTCACAAGGAGGAAGCTCTAGTGGAAGAGGAGGAAGTTCTGGAGGACAATCATAGGGTGGAATTTCACAAGGAGGAAGCTCTAGTGGAAGAGGAGGAAGTTCTGGAGGACAATCATAGGGTGGAATTTCACAAGGAGGAAGCTCTAGTGGAAGAGGAGGAAGTTCTGGAGGACAATCATAGGGTGGAATTTCACAAGGAGGAAGCTCTAGTGGAAGAGGAGGAAGTTCTGGAGGACAATCATAGGGTGGAATTTCACAAGGAGGAAGCTCTAGTGGAAGAGGAGGAAGTTCTGGAGGACAATCATAGGGTGGAATTTCACAAGGAGGAAGCTCTAGTGGAAGAGGAGGAAGTTCTGGAGGACAATCATATGGTGGAATTTCATCAGGAGGAATTTCTGGAGGAGCAGGTAATGCAAGTGGAAGACAGTCGCCAGGTGGCGTTTCTGGAAGTTCTAGACGGGGACAATCACCTGGAAGAATTTCACAAGGAGGAAGGTCTGGAGGAGGAAGTGGCTGTAGCGGAGGGCAATCATCAAGTGGCATTTCCCAAGGAGGAGTTTCTGGAGGAGGAGGAAGTGCAGGTAGAAGGCATTCATCAGGTGGAATTTCACCAGGAGGAAGTATTAGGGGAGGACAGTCCTCTGGTGGAGTATTACAAGGAGGAAGTTCTGGAGGTGGAAGTGGAGGAGGAAGACAATCACGACGCTCATCATCTCCGTCTCAGTCTAGATCTTCTGGTTGGTATGGAGAGCAAGGTAAGGTGAAGTTCAAGTTGCTAGATCCTTTTATATTTTTTCCATTTACAGAAATTTGAGAGGGCAGCTCAATACAAAATATCCAGTTATTAGGAATGTTTCATGAGCATTATCTTAGTTGCTTCTAGAAGCTATTTAGCAGTTTCACTGGCACAAGAATTTAACCATTTCCTATTCATTGTCTATATTTTAAGTTCTCTGTGAAATTTTATTTACTGTAACGTTTGAACTTCAGAGTTCTATTTGGACAAATGGCTAAGGAATTTCAAAAGAAGCTGCCAGAAAGTTCTGGAAAAAATAGTAACATTTAAAAGGGCAAATTCAAAAGATGTCAATAATTTTTGGTAAAATGTATTTATTTACATATTTATATATTTATTTAATTCATATGCCACCTTTCTCCTGAAATCCAAGGCAATTTACAATACCATTTAAAAACATTAGAAAACCGAAACATTAACAACATTAAAATAATGTTAGATTTATTAAGTTATTAATATACAATTAAAATTAAAATATTTTAATATCACTTTTTTAAAATTATAAGACTAATTTGCCTTAAAAGAGTGAAAACCAGCACACCAGCTAAAATATTGTTCTTTGAGGTCCTTAATTACTAGAGGCCTGCTTGTCTTATTATCGGAGAAACACGGTAATACAGACACCCAGAAGGGACTGAGTGAGGAAGTTTAAAAGGGCAATGATTTCAGTTGTCTTCAATCCCACCTTAAAAAAGAAATGCAGGCAGCCTCTTCTCCTCCACACTGTTTCTTTCTATTCTTCTTACCTCTGCCTTTCCTATTCCCTGCATCTACCATTAGCTGTGCTGCAGCCACAGGATTTTGGTGGTGCGATCCATGTCCTTCCAGCAGGAAAGGCAGGGGAGGTTCATTTCTGAAGTCAAAAGCATACTTTTTCTTGTCTTCCTGAGTTTTAATTTCTCTTTCCTAACTGCAAGGTGTAAACACTGGATATGTCATGGTTGTGCTGCTCTGCCCCATTAATGCCTCTGGACTCTTCACTCTGTCCTGTAGTCACCTCAGAAACAAATAAATAGCCCTAATTCAGTTTGTTTCTACATATTTGTCCAACAACAGTGCATAACCCTAAGGTAAACATAATACAATCCCCTCTTGCAGGAACCACAGAACTGCCTACCTTGTTGCACACGAATTGAGTTGCTGGAGATACCCAGAGTGGTGTAGTGGAAAGAGGGACGGATTTGGACTCAGGAGGCTTGGGTTCAAATCCCCACTCAGCCATGCCACTCCCTAAATATCTCACTTACCTTGAAAGCCCTATTAGGATTGCTATGAGTCAGTC